AAAACGAAAAACGCTCCATAAACGTGTATTTCAACGACGGTGAAGAAAAGAAAATGAAACTTACCTACGACCAAATTTCCCGTATGAAGATTTCATGTTTCAATTTTTCTTATTTAAGATCAGGAAAAAAAAATTATTTTATTTTATTTATTTATTTATTTATTTTTAAATAATCAATCCGAATTGGCGTTACAATTTACTAGACGAATGGACAATTAAAAAAGTTGTAAAGAATTTGCGACGTATTGTACTTATGGATCTTTTGTCAGGCAGTGATGCTCCTGATATAAGGTTTACACTTAAAACCCAGACACGAATTCCAATTGATCCCAATTTGAAATGTCTTATCAAAGACGTGCAAGATCCAAATCGTAACGAGTCTTTTATGGCTTTGCGACCTTCTGATTTCGCAGGCACGTGGCTTCATGTAACACGTGTCGAACAGGCGATCAGCAAAACGAAGTTTTTGTATGTATATTTAAAATATTATTGTAATCTTAGCATTTATTAAACTTGTTCTACACTTCCTTTTTAATAGTAATGAAAACAAGACGCAGATTCAGAAAGAGTCACATACGGAAATAATGTTACTCTTAAACATGTAGATTGGATTCGAATGTTTAACCGATTATCTAATCTACCAAACAAAGATCAATATCAGCAACAATCATATCAAAATGAATATGATCTTATAAGTTTTGAAGATATACCAAAGCAAACAATCTCGGTTTCGAGGACGCAAAAACAGAACATCGAAGACGACGTTTTTGGGATCGAGTTCTTATCAAACCACATAAAAGAAGATTACAAGAAAGAAGAAAATATTTCATCCGAGTTCAAAGGGATATTACAGTGCACAATCCCCGCGTCATTAGACTTTGCTCGCCAATTCATCCAGCGTATTGGTGACGATTAAAAACTTATAAGCTTAGTCGAGTCGATAGTTTTGATACGGCTAAGCTGGCTTAATCGGTTATTATCTCAAAAAATTATATCTATT